TTACCACAAGCATTGCCGAGTAGTTTTGGCTGAGTACTTTTCGCTCATGCATGTAATAAAGTTATTGTTTACAGATTTTTTTAGCTTGCCAAAGCAAAAACCTTTTGCGAAAACCTTAAAAGTAAAAAACATACTATAAAACCTGAAAATCTACAAGGTTACGTCATTTCGTTTTGGCGCTAGTTTGCCGCTTTTGCCATTAACATCAACCTCCACTCACAGTACCATCAAGGTGCGTGTGTTCGTTTACGTGGGTGAGCTGCTCCAAAATTCATCCACTCCGCAAAGTGGTGCGGCAGTGTTCATCATAACACTACATGTGTACATGGGCTAACTGGGATCTGGTGCTGCATCGCTTATATCTGCCACATTATTTCACATTGTTAAATCGTTCCTTTTTCATTTCAGGTGTGCTAGTTCGTACCGGACTCTTCGCATAATAATAATAATAATAATACTGTTTATTCGAAACTTGTGGGTGCCATACCACCAGGCACGATCATACGTTTACAGTCAGAATAAAGTATGACTGGGGGGACTTGCGGGTACTGGAGAGTGCACCAAAAAGAGGTTAGCGTCATAAACAGTGGGCAATATCCGGTGAAAAATAATTATAATGTGTTCATTTTCCAACTTGTAGGAAGCGTGCTGATCAAGGCCTGATAGTGTCTTACAGCCTGAGCGCAGCAGGCGACAAGATAACGGGGAGGAGAGTACAACCAACGATGCATGCTTAATACATGGAAATTATCGCAGTTGCGCGAACCGAGAAAAACTAGAAAAATAGGCATGGGGTCAGACCAGTTCGAAGATAAAGCGGGCTGACATGAACATAAAATGAGATCCATTGCGAGCCATGAGTGGCCAGGGTCACAACAGGCAAAGTTGGAGATGAAGATGGAATAATTCGAAGTAGAGCCAAATGACAAGTTTTGTATCGAAAAGATGGTTTAACATGAAACTAAGTAGACCCACTGATGCCACTGTTATGGGGAAGTCAGTGCAAGGGATAGGTTCTACGGCGACATAGAGCTAATGCATAGAGCCAAACGAACACCGTATATGGAATTGAAATTATGAAAGGGGCGAACTAAAATTGCAGCAGCAAATCTGGTCGGCCAAATCCGTGTGTCAATAAAGTCTCATGAAATGAATATGTGCACATACACCGTTGTTGTTCTTGGAAAATACATGCGGGGGGATAGCGTGTAGCATAACTGCATGCGTGTTACTCAGCCGCTATATTTGTTATTTTTGCATAAGAAAGCTTCACCTCATTAGTGAGAGCACCAAACACGGTAAATTATGCGCTGGTGGCATAACCAGAAAAGGTATGATTGCTGCAGTACTTAACGACTAGTCTAGGATGCAGTAGTTTCCTTTTCGGCGCGTTTACCAAGGTTAGGTTGCCGTTCAACTGTCGGACCATAAAAAATGTTTCCCATAGAGCAGATATCTAGGCAAGTGCTTGCGGGTATGTATTACACGCTTTGTTTGCTTACCTCTGAAGAAGATACACAATACCTTCGGCTTGTTATTCTTGTGAAGGACAATTCACTTAGTTCTCACGTGAGAGATTAGGAACGCGAAAAAGTAAGCAATGTTATCAAAATATACGTTTTAGTCATCCGGTGGTCATTTTTGACGCATTAGCCATAAGCAGTGTAGCATACACGACAACATGCGTGTCATACCAGGCACATCCCAGTAGAAAACATTTTGCAAGAGGTAACCACAGTTCAAAACGAAGCATGAAATCATGTTGCACGAACATAAATGTCTAGTGGGTAAGGTCACAATTTCCGTTCACTCGGGAAGATCAGAGGTAGGATGACAAAAACCGCTCATTACGTGAAAATGACTCGAGAGGGCCACATCAAGTACACCGGAGAAGCGATTGTAACCCCAAGTGCAGATTTCCATGTGCATGTTGAAACAAAAGCGTGTTGCTTAAACACCAGAACAAAAAAGATGAAATATAAATTCCACTTTGTAACAAGTTAACACTGAGTTTTTGCACTTTAAACGCTCAACTACGCTTTGAACAAATCGTAATGAATAGGCTAACAAATATATGTCACCGCATTGCTGCTTCGCACTAAACTTAGACCTATGTGAACGAAAATTACCTGGATTGTGCATAAACTCAATCCAAATGACTGAGCTTTCTGATTTGTGCAAAAACGGCCGATTGGAATGCTAGCTTCTGCATGAATCACATGCCCATGGCACTGCAACTCTGAACCCGGGACGCGCGCCCAACGTTGAAAATGATACTGAGGTTAAGTAAAACAAATTCCTTCAAAACTGACTTAGGTAGCTGGTTTTGGTGTGAGCAGACACGTGGAAATTCGCCACATTTTCACGTTAAAAGTTCTTTTCAAATATCAGGGTTAAGGGGCATCTTCCGTCATGGAGAAGCGCTTCGGTTTGGTGTTTTCTCCAAAGTCCAACGATAATTTTACCCACAATTCGTTGGTTGTGTGCCGTCAGACACGAGCATAATAGTTCAGTCAGAATAAAGGCGTGATTGATGGAAGTTATGATCGCCCAGGAGTGCACAGAAGCGGGGTGTTCACAAGAACAATGGGTATTATGCGGTGCAAATGATGTACTGCTTAAAATGGCGCAATCTAAATGCCACGGGCACTGAGGGCGGAAAAACAAAGTTAATAATTTTTTCAATCATTTAGTGAACAGATCAAACCAGCTGATCGAATCATTGCGATTGGAAATCGGCGGATGACAACACAGTGGGAGAGCCAAAAGGGGATCCTGCCTGTCACATGACGGAAAAACTGTGGATTTCTGAAAATAAGGAACAGCCTAAATCGTCTGCGAGAAGGCTAATGGTTGAATTACGTTGTTAACAACTTGATTGAGTACGGTGCCGACAGTAGAGTTCGAAGCGTTAGTTATCAAGGTAAGTTCTGTGTTTTCGTGAGTATCGAGGAAAGGGAGTCTTGTGGCGTGAGCGGTGGCTTGTGTGGCTCATTCAAAAGCAGTAATGGTGGCGGGGGCAAGATAACAGATTTTCCTTTGGAGCCAAGTGAATCGATCAGTAGCTCTAAAATATCTGCACAATGAGGAATGGGCCGCCTATAGTAGTCGATGATAACAATGAAGCGACGAGGTTGAGTGATAGTGGTGGGTATGGTAAAAAATTTTAAAACAAAATGCCATCCGAAAATGATAAAATACCTGCTGGTTCAATGCGGTGGCCAAGAAAATTTAAGCTTGTAACACTAAAAGAACATTTGCCAATGTTCAAACTTATGTTGCAGGTAGAATAACGTTGAAATACTGACCTGATATGGTTTTCATGCTCAGTTGGGGAGGTGTCAGCGGTTAAAACATCGGCTAGATGAGCAAATCGCGTTCAACTTCGTCTGTGAAACATTGAAACGTTTGAGCTGCATTTTGAAGACCAAAAAGCGACCGCACGAATTCGAAGAGCCAAACGGTGTTGTGACAGCTGTTTCAGGGATGTCATCCGGGGCCGCAGGGTTATGATAGTATCCACATACGAGTTTTGAGAAAATGTTCGTGTGACAAGGTATTTGCGAAATCGTGGATATGTGAGATGGGGTACCCGTCTGAGTTAGTGGCGTTATTGAGAGAACGGTGATCTCTACAAGGTCTCCAATCGCCTTTCTATTTCTTGGGTACCATATTTGGGGGTAACGACCAGTGACTCGATGAAGTGCGGATGATGTCGAGTCCGGAAATGTGTTCGAATACGTGTTTTGTGATCTGGAGCCTATCCGGATGAAGTCGGCGGAGTTGGGTATGGACAGGTGGACCTCTAGTCTGGGTTTGGTGAACGACGGAATGAATGAGTGGCTGGGTGTACTAACATGGATGATTAAGGGCTGGAAAAACCCGAAGTATGTCAGCAAAATGGGAAACAGTTAGGATAACTCGGATACCCGTGGATGAAGATGGGGCACCAATCCCGTTGACTGAGTGAGAATCTAGCATGTCCAGGAGACGTTTGTGTCGCGCATAGACGGATAAGTTGTAGTGAGTTAGGAAGCCTGTGCCAATATTGGTTGTTCGGATGTCGGCCAGAAGGAAAATCCACGTGAACGCACGACGCAATCCGAGCATCTTATGCGCAGATTTTCCCGTCCTGCTCTTGACAGCCACTCGAAGCGCGTCATTGGGATTTTTCTTGGGGATATCTTCTAAAAGACTTACTTCTGTTGCTACATCCCTAGGAAGATACCGGGCGACGTAGAAAAAAGCGGGTAGCTTGGGAATTGGTGCGTCGGGGAGTAAAAACAGCATTGACCCGGTGAAACTACACCCCGTGATTGCGCGGATTATAGTCTTGTAAATGGATGCAAATTGCATTCTCGACTAAATCCGATGAATCGGATTTGGCGTCCATAATAACATGGCAAGAAAACTGCGATTACCTGAAAAGTTAAAAAATTGCTAGAAAGACCGGAGTTCACCAAATTTATAGTGATCTTGCTATCCAAAAAGCTACTTTACCAGTGAAACGGTGATGCTATTGATGGGGAGGCACGCAGGTAGTATGTGTTGTTTGTAGAATTTCGCTTTGCGTCTATTGAAAAAGGGAGATCTGTTGCGGAATTCGTGGAGCCACTTTGTAACATTTGCTTAGATTTGACCGACGAATGAGTGGAGTCAATGAATTTTCAAAAAAGTTCAAGAAGCCTCGTTCGGGAGAAGACGGGTGTCCAGTTTTTGTAACTAAGATGCAAATTAGAGTTTAGATTCCCCGTTCAATGGTCTGTAACCGGTCAGTTGGCATTTCCTAATAAATAACTCCGCAGCGAAGGCCTTCATCCTTTCATTTGGTGCCGTCGCCAGAATAAGAACGAAGATCCCGTGGCCGCAACCCTTTGCGGATATGGATGTTCGAACTTTCCTGGAGGACTTTGAGGAGGTTACGGAGGCTGTCTGTCTGGAGACCGACCGGGGTAAGTTGGCAGCGCTGAAGACCCTCCTCAAGGGCCGGGCGAAGGCGGTCAGAAGAGGCCCTCGGAAGATGGACTGGGCTGCCGCGAAGGAAGTCCTTGCAGCGGAGTTCGCCACGCCGGCCGACCGACCGCCAGGGGGCTATGGGGCAGTTCAAGACGGCCAGGATGGTACCCGGATCTGACCCGACCGTGTTCTTCGCCGGCCTGCAGCAGTTGTTGGATCGCGCTTTGCCGACGCTGGACGGAGTGTCGCGACACCAGTTGCTGTCGGATCAGACTTCGAGGAGATTGCGGAGGATGCTGGAGTGGAGACCGACCGGTGGCTCTGAAGGCCCTCCTCAGAGGCCGGGCGAAGGCTGCCCTGGGTGTGGCCAGAAGAGAACCTCCAAAGATAAACTGGGCCACTGCGAAGGAACCTCTAGCAGCAGAGTTCGAATCACCGGCCAGGAGGCTATGAGGCGTTTCAAGAAGGCCAGCATGGAACCGCGATGGATCAAGCCTTGCCGGGTCTGGACAGTATCAGGCCAGCAGTTGCTGTCCGACCAGTTCGCTGGGTGTGCAGCGTGCAGTGAAAAAGAGCAACTGACCGGTCGAGTGTGGAGGAGCTGGTGCATCTGGCACGGGAACTGCCGAGGCGCCACTGGTCACGTTGCAGTCGGAGGAGAACGGAGGATTCAACAGTGCAGGACCTGAGGAACAAAGTGGACCAACTCGTCGAACAGCTTGCAGCCATAAAGACAGAATCGCGGAGGGACGCTCGAACGAGCCGATGCTACAAGTGTAGCATGCCTGACAACTGGAAGAATCAGCGCCCTTGTACCCCACCACCTGTACATAAAACTTTGGATAACTCCTCGTTTCCCGAGTGCGTTGTGACTAGTGCAGTGATACAGGCTACCATACGAACCGTTGTCGAGGTAGACGGGAAAAAGGAGTTACGTTTGATTGATACAGGAGCAGGCGCATCGCTGATGCAAAGAGGAAACCAAGCTGAACGAAGACCATACGCGCTAGCCGTGAGAGATTTGGTGGATATCGACTGAAGATTGACGGATTGTCAACGCACTCGATACGCCTAGGTGACAAGTCAGCGCAGCACGCGTTCCTGGTCGGTCCAGATGTAGAGCAGACAATATTGGGAGCTGATTTTCTCAAGGGCACAGATTCCGTGACTGACCTAAAGAAGGGAAGGCTGGTGACAAAGTATGGCACAATCAAGCTTGAAAGTTATCCAGGCACTGTCGTGAGGGAGTTGCGTCTATGCCAGTCGCGTCCTGACTAACCTTCAAAAACCGCGAAACCCAAATGTCAAGGTCAGGTGTTGTAGAAACGCTTTTTTGATTATAGCCCACCCCCATAGGTCGTTAACCATTTTTATACTAGGTAACTATTTT